CTGTCATGCACGTATTTTCTCCATAAAGCACATCATAGACATCTTGTACGTAAGAACAATAGATAACACTTTAGCACTGTTCTTGAAGGCCATTCTTACTGGTGAAATCACTTGAGAAAAAGCACAAAATTTCAAGTAATATAGCACTAAATAAAGTATGCAAAGGACTTTTTTTACATTGTGAGTTAAAACAAGCAAGAAACCAGAGTTCTACCTCACTTGACCTCACCTGGGAGTGATGCTTGTCAGATGGATCAGATTTGTCTCTACTTTGTACAGCCCATGAATGACCATGAAAATATCTTAGTATCAGATATGAAGTTACAAATAAGTTTTAGCAGTAGCCCAATTTGCAAATAGAGCATGTTTGACTCAGGGAAATCAAGACTATATGAATATATGCACACCTTTCTTTTTAAAAACATAACTCTCAGGGTGATTTGAAGAATGAAAGTTATTTTGGGTAACACTGACTCAGATATAATGATTTTGAGCATTAGTTGCTGTTACACATTTCAAATTAACAAAATAATAAATATGTTACTGAAAATGACCAAAACTTCTTGGCTTAGTAAAAGCTACAAAGAAAACTAGTTGTTGAGTTCTTTGGCTCTTCAGCCTTTGTATGTAATGCACAGTAGCAAGGAAAACCACTGTAATTTGATGCTTTGCTTTTAATGGTTAGCATTGCTTTGTGACCTTATGAGGGAAAATTGTTTTTTATGTATTAACAAAATATTATGTTTCCAAATATATGAAATTCATATGGAAACATTTTGAACTTAATATGTGGTATGACTGCTGTTCTTAGACTTTTAGTACCATTTCATGCTGCAGACCAAGTATAAATTGACATTTTCAAGATGGTTTTGGTTAACTCCTTAATGTTGCAAATTGGAACTTTCCAATGTAATAACTTCTGCAAAACACCATGCTGTTGACAGAAGAATAAATGGAAAACACACACTTATAGACATTCTTGTAGAGCAGAATAGAAACTAAAGCTTATCAAGTAGAATGTTCTTAGAAGTTATTTGGGGATAAAATATTAGAGTTTAAAATACTCTTATTAGTAAAGTCAGATCATAATTTTTGTGTAAAATGAATTTCCCCTTGTACTTATAAAGTGGCTGATCACACCATTTACATGGGTATGTGTCAGTGTCATTGTGACTATTTGGCAACATAGTTTCTCAGAAATTCCAATTACCCATGTAAATACATTTCATAGCATCACATTTCACTGTCAGAACCCCTGCTGCCTGTGTATCATTAACATAAATGCAGGTGCAAATAGCATTTATGTACTTTGATAAAAAGCAGTTGGAGACATCTCACTGTGGGACACAACACTTTCAGATTGTGTACATCTGTTCAAATAATGTATCCAGCCCCAGTGACATGAGCACAAGGATGAAAACATCTGCCCCGAGACCATTTGCCATGTAGCAGATGCTTACATCTTTATTTATGCAGATGGTTGATGTGTTGAATTGAGTGAGAATAAAACACCAAGGTGTTTGACAGGGATGTTTAGCATGTTATGCAAGCAAAAAACAGAGTTGGCAGTTTTGTTTTAAAGGTACAATATTAATAGGAATGGAAATTCATAAATCTAATATTGCTTTTAATAGTCCACATACTTTTTGTCTTTAAATTAATTAGCATGGAAATTCTAAAAATGTTTAGAGAAATTCAGTGTTCAACTTACATGAACATAAACAACTTAGAATTATTTTGGTTTTGATAAAATAATTTATAATGAGTTTCAATGTTTTTCTAAACCCTTTTATGAAGGTTCTCTTTTGTCTGAAAATGTTACATACCACAAAGAGAATCTTGTGATAACATTTCTTAAAATTGGGCAAAAATATAAGTGTCATCAATTTGAGTTTAATTTATGATACGTTCCATGAATACTCAAATTAAGTAAAATAGGTTGCTGAAATATTATATATATTTATAAAATATTTGTCAAATATTTTATTATTTAAGTTGAAACCAAGGAAACCAAGTCATAAGTATTAATTTGCTCATGATGGGGCCATAATTTGTATGCCTTGCTGTGGGGTGGTTCTGATTTGATTTTATTAGTTAAAAAGACCACTAAAAATGATTGGATCCATTTGTACCACCAGTAATACAAAGCGACACAATGAGACAGTCATGCATATACCACCAATGGTTCAAGCTTGCAGAATAGGTTAAAGGTTATTAATCTTGTGAAGTCTCATTCTAGTAGTAAATGTAAGACTCAAAGACAAACCTCTGGTCGCTAGCTTACATGTAATGTCATTTGTCTTTTTGTTTCTGAAGGAGCCTTCCCTCTGCCCTAGAAAGAAAATTTCCTCTATCAATAGAAAGTGAGCGAGAGAGCAAGATCAAGAGGGGAGCGAGAGAGAGAGAGTGAATGTGTACAGGACTTGCAACATGAGGAATTTAGAAATCCTTTTACCATTTTTTCTTCCAGTGTTAATGTTCTTCATTGCCCTGTTTTTAAGGCAGGTGGTATGGGATTAGGAAATAGATAAGAAATGTATATTATTTTCTAAATTGTAAAAGACCTTAGTGATCTTTTCTTTTATTTATGCCCATCAGAAAAACAAATCACATTTTGTCAGTGCTTTAAAATGTCAGGGTGCTTATTTATTTTTGCTTTTAAAAGTTGTATTCTGGGGGCTGGGGAGAAAGCTCAGCGGTCTAAGAGCCTGCCTAGCAAGTTCAAGGACCTGAGTTCAATCCCTGGTACTGCATGCCATGCTGTGCTAGCCCTGGAAACCAAACAAACAAACAAATAAATAAATAATTTTTTAAAGAAATTGTATTGTGGTCAGTCTAATTTGCTTCCTAGAAACTTTAAAAAAAATCTGTTTCACCAGCCTGGCTTTCCACTGTCAGGACATTACTGATGGCTGAGTGTTGATTTTTTTAGCCACCTCTCCCAACAGCCATGCTATAGATTCCTGCTAGAACATAGAAGCCCTACCCCCCGCACACGGTTGCCCTCCCAACATTTATATTCTTAACGTTGAGTTAGATTGTGTGGCATTTACCAGCCACTGAAGGAGACTGGCATATAAAGAGACAAATCACAAAACACCTTACTAAGTTCAGTATGTTTAGACAGAGGGAGAATAGCTTTTGTGACAAAGATCTCAGTTCAGATTTAGCTCTGATCAGCATTGTCAACTTGCAAGAAATGTTCGTTTTCCATATCCATGCACTGGAAATGTTAATATAAAAATATTAATGGAAAGTTCAATGAGATAATAGGCTAAGCACCCAGTCTGACTCCTAACTGGGTAGCAGTTTAGTACTTAATAGTAGAATTTAAGGATTATAGAGATTCAAGGGAAGAATAGAAATCACTAAATAGAGACAAGGAATATATACATGTATGTACACTACTAATAATACAATATCTCCGGAAGGCAGGAGACAGCGTTGAAGCTAGAATAGAAGATAGACTCCAAAGACTCTTTACTGTTTTGCTTTGCTTTGCTTTGCTCTGCTTTGCTTGTTCAGCAAAAGCATAGGACAGTGATGATGAACCTTTTAGAGACTCAGTGCCCAAACTGTAACCCAAAAGCCACTTATTTATCCCAAAGTGCCAGTACTACAATTAAAGCTGAATACTGAGGATTTAGTTTAGATAAAACAACAGTTATCTAATGTTCTGCTGCTGGGTTGACTTGGACTTATATTCCAGCAGAGAGGGCATACCATAGGTTCACCACCACCTTTCTCCTGGCATAGGAGAAAGCAAAACAGTAATGTGGAGGGTGAATAGGTGACTCACTTATTTAATAAATACTATGCAACTGCCAGATGCTGTTGTAGGGACCTAGGTCCTGGCAGTGGATGAAGCACATTTGTCCTTACACATCATGAGCTATTGATATAAAAGCTGAAATACAGAAAAACCTGCTGCAAAAAGTTAGGAATTAATGTGAGTTCAAAATAACTTAGGATGAAAATAGAGCATCTATAAACCTATGCTTTATAGCAGAGAAATTTTCTTTCTTTTTTTCTTTCATTTTTAGAGATCAAATCCTAGCCTGGAATTTACTGGGCAAGTTCTAGACTCCTGGATTACATCCCTACTTCAGTTTGCATCACCCGTGTGTGTGTGTGTGTGTGTGTGTGTGTGTGTGTGTGTGTGTATAGGGAGAAATTGTCATTTAAATTCTTCAGAAAGAATGAAGACTGCAAAAAATGCTTTTTTATAAATAGTAAACTTATTTTTGAAGTTACAATATAAAAATGTCATTGTGACTCCAGTCTTTTGCTTTTACAAATATTGTTGTTGAGTTTCATATGTTTTCATCAAAAACAGAAAACCTCCAGCCTTTTGCTTTTGCCCAAGTTTAATAGTTAACAATTGACTGCACATCTGAATGTTAAAACCTTGTCTCAGTTACTCTTCTCTCGTTTCTGGAACAAATACCCTACACTCAAAATGAAGGTAGGAAAGATTTATTTAGCTCACAGTTACTGAAATTTCAGTCCATACTGAGCTGGCTCCAAGGCAGAGTGGCACATAGCAGAGACACCTTTCATGGTGGTGGCACAGAGCAAAGAGCAAAATGAAGAAGTAGCAGCAATATTGGCTACAGAGACCAAATCTGTCTTCCTTACATTGTATTCAGACTATCTGCCCCAGACTGAGTGCAGTACTCAAATCCATAATCCCAGAAGCACTTACACCCGTAATCCCAGTGGATCATGAGTTAATCACAAACTCTAGAAGTCTGCCCTGTGACTGCATGAGACTTTGGGGGTACAACTAGACATAAACCATAGCAAACCTTATCATTCTGCTTCTCCCAATAGCAAAAATATTTTTTTCACTGTCATCTTGTTAGCCTACCAAAAACTTAACAATTGCAACTGCTGTGAAAATGTTATTAGATTTGAAAAGAAGAGGCCCATTTTTCCTTGGTTTCTGGAATATTTCTTGCCATGAGATATTAGTGCCACTCATGGAAGCTCTGTTGCAGGTGATGTCTCCATAGCCACCAATCCTGCTGAGAAACAGTGGACTCAGAAAACGGACTCTCTTGGGAAGACAGTGTGCACAGGTATTTGTTATGCGTAACAGGATGTTAGATAAATGATCTTCTGCTGTTACATGTTGAAGTTCAGTTATCAAGGTCTAGATTTCAACTGTGACTCAGTTGAATGCTAACAATTCTAGTAACAAAAAGGAATATTGAAAGAATGGGTTAAAACATTTCAGAAGTTTCCATTTGTCTTTGCTTATTGTCCTTGGGAGCCCTCTAGCTTCTCATTAACTCATTTATATTATTTAATCACTTAAATGTCAAAAGAAGCCAACTTGCCTGTAATATAATAATAAATAAAATTCTGAGTGTACCACAGGTTATTTTTGAAAAAGATAAACAACTTGATCATTCTAAATGTGTTAAAAGCAAAAAAAGTTTCATCCAATTTTCAGCTGTTCTCATCAGAAGCACTTCAAATCAAGAATAGTTCCTTTCAAAAATAAGAACTAGTAAATAGGGCTTAATTAAGGTAAAAAAGAAACTAGTTGAAATTAAAAATTATTAAAATGTATTTTAAATGATAAACCTTTTTAAATTACTTTAAATTTTGAACGTTTTATGGTCTCAAAAGAATATTTTAATTTAACCACATTGTATAGTTTTTTTCTTTTATTGTCATTAATGTTAAAGGTAATTGGCTTTTAAATTCCTCATAAAGAATGCTAGTTTTTTCTTGCTTCATAATTTATTTACACTCCTGATTTATTCAGCTTTATGACTTTAATGGTTCCTCTTTGCTAGCCCAACTTTTCTTTCTATACTCTAGTAATGTTAAACTTAATTCTTAATGATATAATTAGAAATACTAAGCCTGTAAGTGCCTTCAAAACTGTGATTATCCTGTCCCCTCCCCACTATGGGAACCCATGTATTTGCACTCCTAAATTGAGAAATCATATGGCCGTTGCTGCCATTGCCCTCCAGAGCAGTGGCTGGGATCCCAGCCTCACTCTAGGGCTGGCTTTCACTGATCTCTGACCTACCCTCTCTCTGAACCCAGAGTGGAGTACCCTAGTAGCTCTCTTCCTGTTAGCCTTAAGAGCAACAGTTGGCTTCACCACTACTCAGTGTAAACAAAACCTGGGAGAATCCCCACAAAACCTCTCTTTCAGATGCATACAAGTTAACTCATTCACACTGAATTGTTAATCCAATTAACACCTAGTCATCTAACCTTCAAGGGGTGGGAGATGACAGGGAATAAGAGATCTTCTTGGGATAGGTCAGATGTTAGAGATATTGAGCTGCCAAAGTGGGTGTCATCACAAAAAGGGGGAAAAAAATACAGTTTTACTGAGATCGTTGTTGACAAAGCATAGCCATTTCTCCTTTTTCTTCATTTACTTCTCAGAGATGAAACATTGGTTTAAAGATTTGGAACTGTTTCCATATGCTCAAACTCTGCCTTTTATTCCCACTGGGAAAAAAGTGTCTGAAATTTTATGCTTAAGAGAAAATGGAAAATGACATCTACTGAGTATCTGACATGGTGGGAACTACCCCTGCCACCTTCATGGATATTTGTTTTTAATCCTGATATGATCTCTAGTATGCTAGAGTTGTCCTTATTTCATGGAAGATATATAGGCACAGAGAATGACTTGAGAAGTACATGACAGAGTTAAGCATTGAAACCGAGTCTATCTGAGACCCAGACACTGTAATTGTTCTGTGGGAGGCTATGGTGGCGGCCAGAGCCGTGCATGATAGCTTACAGTCTGCTTTCCATCTTGAATGGAAAGATACCATTCTGTCAAGTGGGCAAGGCTTTGAGTCCAGCACTGTTGCTGACCAGCTAGAAAATCTTTTACTATAAAATGGACTTAACAGTAATTCCCCACCCAGCTTATTGTGGGGATCAAAGGAGACAATGCATGTGAAGCACAGTGCTTGACTCATAAAATACAACATATCATTGGGATAATGTTTAAGAAACTATACATAAAGAAATTTAGCAGCTCAGAAAATAAGAAACCCCTTTCTTTAAAGAGAAATGATTGAATTGTCACTTGCAATAGCCCTTAGAGGCCTATGCTCTGTACAGGGCACCTACTGGTTACTGGTGTTATTAAGAGGAGGGGGGAGTTGCTAGGAGCATAATTGGGCAGAACAGGACAGGTGTGCCGAGGAGAATAAACAAAATGACTCAGGATACAAAATTTCCAGTTGGAAATGTGCTTACTTGCTTTGTATTGTCTCAAATTTCCTGAAATGTACTTCTGTGATATGGTAACTCTAGGAGCTACCAATAAGACCAGAAATGGTATTTGGCATCTTAACTCCTTGAACAAATGTATAGTTGTGCCTAACCCAGCATGTTTTACTGTGCATACTGCTAGGCCAGCTCTCAGTAAACTCTTATTGGCTCTATTGCTGCAGCCCCTGGACAGTGAGGGGGACAGGAAAGCTATGGCTAAATGCCAGAATAGTTTTTTCAACAAAATGAAGTTGAAGTCCTTGTATTATGAGACATTTCTTTTATCCTAGACTGCTCCTAAGTTTTACCATATTTATTTTAACCAGAGACCATCTTGGCAAATAATTTGGACCCCTATTGGAATTTATTATTTGAAAACCAAGTAGGAAGGAGAACAGAGATACCAACAAATAAAATTGAAAATAACATTTTTTAGTTTAATAAACTTAAAAACTAAACAGGGCTGGCCAGGTAGCTCAGTGGACTAAAGCACCTGCTTAGGCAGATACAGGGGACCAGGGTTTGATCCCCAGTGTGCTGTGCAGGCCCTACCCCTAGGGCGTGCTGAGACAGCAACCTGAGACTGGGTGTGGTGGCACACACCTGTAATTCCAGTGCTTGAGAGGCTGAAAACAGGAGGATCACCTTGAGTCCAATCTGTGTAGTGAGATCCTGTAGACTCTGTACAAAAAAAAAAAAAAAAAAAAAAAAAAAAAAAAAAACTAAACAGTACATAAAATGTTTGACTCTTACTGGTAGCTCTCACAGCACTTTCATTCTATACATGGATCCAGGGCCCTCCTTTAAGACCAGGGACATGCTGTACTCTTTGATGGTTCCTCTGAACAGGCTCCGTAGTCCCATGGATCCCAGTCTATGCAGTGGAACTTTGCCTAAACCAAGGACAAGATGAGTGGAAAAATTTTGTTTGAGGCAATATAGCAGCACTTGATTCTGACAGAGAAAATCAGAAAACAAGTGATTTATAGCAATCATGCACATCTATCCATTATGCAGCTGTGTTGTAGAAGAGTTTGATAAATCTTAGGTGGACTGGGCAGCTAGTGCTTTGAGGCCTTCCATGTTCATTCTGCTCCTTAGACATGCAAGGAATGTCCATTAGATCCAGTCCTTTGCAGATTGGGGAGGGGGGCTGCATTTGTGCATTCTCTAATGTCCAGCAGCCTTCCTGGATTTGTCAGAATCCCTGGAATCCCTGGAAATTTACTTTTACTTTCAAATGACTTAATTGTCCATTAGTCTTCTTATAAGTGGACTTTCTGAAAGAAAATGTCATGTAATGACAGTAGAAAGTTTTGGATATGAGGATATTTCTATTTTAATTTGTTTCTTAAAATTCAGAAATAGTATATTTTGGGATTAAGATGACTTTCTATATAATTTTCTCCCTTTGAGAGGAAAATGAAGGGAAGGGAGATCATTGCTTTGCAGTGGGACCCATCTGACTTATGGACTTTGCAGGTTGAATTCTACTTCCTCAAGCCTCATATTTATTAATCTTTAAAGTGAGGAACAATAATACTTTTGCAGAGTCTTTTGAGGAGTCAGTTCAAAGGCCTAGCATATATTCTAGACCAGTAGTTTTTAACCTATGACATCTGCTGTAGTAAGTTATTTGTATTATTGAAAATTATGTTACTGTGATTTCTTTTAAGACAAAGAAAGATGTTAATGCAGTTATTTCTTCTAAACTAAATGCTCAGTATCCAGATTGAATTGCAGTGTTGGAGTTTTGCAATAAGTAAGTGAGTTTGGGTTGCAGTGTGGGTATGTGGTTTTCTGGAGAGATAGCTAGTAGTCTAAGCTCCTGCCTGGCAAGTTGAAGGACCTTGGTTCGATCTCTGGTGGCACATGTCATGCCAGCCCCAGAAGCCCAGGTGCATTGGGCTGACCACCAAAACCAAGTATGGTGGCATATGCCTATAATCCCAGTACTGGGGAGGCTGAGACAGCAGGCTCACTAGATTCCAAGCTGTGTAGTGAGTTCCTGTACCAAATTAATTATTTAATAAAATATTTTTAGAAGGCTTGCTCTTAAAAAAAGGCTTGCCCTCATTACTTAGACTACTTAGTAAGGACTCAGCACCATCCAGTTTCCCTTTCAGTTATTCACCAACTGTAAACATAAGTTTTCAAAAGTTACTTTACCTATGCTTCACATATTTAAAACAACCCATAATTAAAATCCTACTAAATATTCCCATTGAATAGCTACAGAATTAATTTTACTGAGTGGGTCTTTTATGTTCAGTTAATAAAAGTCCATGCTTAGTACTTGAGAGTCCTATGAGTCTCTTTAACTCTGTTATGGGTAATTTCACAGGATTTCCAGAAATTATGAATGTCAGTGGAAATTTCTACTTATTATTTAGTGCATAGTTTTGTAAGATCTGTAAATTAGTAAGTGCAGGTGAGAGATTTTAGCTCACACCATCTGTGAATAGCCTGGTGGCCGTGTAGTGAAATAAACCACTGTTGCAACTACATTGCCAAGAAAGATTTCCTACAGTCATGCTTTCTTAGTATTTTCAATTTTTAAAAAAAATTTAATGGCGTTTTCATCTTCTCTGAGGCTCCCTATTGTTTAACTTGAGAAGTTTGAAAGCTCAGTAACAGAGAAAGTAGGTGGAACTCTTGAGGACATAGGGGTAGGCAAAGAGTTCATGGACAGAAATCAAATCGCACGGGT